GCCAAGAAAGTGTTTCAAGAGAATGGTTTATAGAAACCCACATCTATGCTGTAATATATTTTAGTCATAACTCTATAGGAGCTATATTTTTCTTTGAAGTTTAAAAATTTATTTTCAAAATAAAGAAGTAGCATATTAATACATGTTCATGGATTTTTTACAAAGTCTAGATAATTTCTAATCATGAACACGTTAAATAAAAATCCCATTTCTTACATAACATAAAAATATGTCTTCATTCTTTATCTCTTCAGAAAGTCTTTATCTCCCCTTCCAGAAATCAAATTAAGAGTAGTAAAGGATAACATATAAACCCAAATCACAGACAGCTGATACATGAATGTGTATTAGGAAAGATAAAGAGATGAGGCACTATAACATATTTCTAGAAGACAGAAAATAGATATAGGAATGGGGTGCAAGATGACACTATCCCCAACTAGCAGCTATTGCCCTTTCTTCCTTGCTAATGGAATTCTGATCTTGAGTGGCCAGTATCATATACAGGTCCAGTGTCTGTCTAATTCAGTCACTAACTGCAGTTATCTCTCTCCAGTTTACCAAATATTCAATTTCAAATCCTGTCTTGTAGCTAGGAATGGTGATGTGATGCAGTTCTGATATCACGTTGGAGAAAGTAGTTTAGGAACCTTCAGTGTAATTTTATCCTTCATAATAGAAAGAACAAAAGGTAGAAGGGAAGGAAGTCTTTCCCTCTCTACCCACTTTGGATGCTAGAGGGAATGAGGATACAAATGCTTGTATTCCAGGCAGCTTGTGATCATGTGGAGGCCTGGAAAAGCAGTCTTGCTAACACAGTGCCTTGGCATCACTGAGGTGCTGAAGCAACTCCAGCCTCGCCTATCACCAGATATTCATCTTCTTAAACATTTAATATTTTACTTTTTAAATATTTTCCTGGAGATATATTTGATTTTTTATTTTATTAGTACATGTTTGAAGTATATGAAGTTTACATTCATCTTTGGGAACAAGTACATGTACATAACACAGTTTGTTTATTTTTAATGCCCTTCCCAACCACTTCTCTCGATCTCTAAGTTCCCTTTCTCAATTTTCATTCTTGTTATTATTATTCTTAGCTCATGCTGATAACAAATAATGTTTACATTCATTGTGAGAATTTGGTACCTGTGTATAGCACATCGTAATTCTTCTTACTGTCCTCTCCTCTCACTCTCAATCTCCTGGACCATTAAACTAATACATAAAAACAAAAAAAATCCACGTATCAATGTGGTAACACATAATGTTGCCATACATGCATACATTTGTAATACTTAAGATCGGTTAACGTATTTTTCTTCTCAAACATTTATCATTTCTTTATGATGAAAATATTCAAAATCCTTTCTTCTAGCTTTTCCAAATGGCATTATTTTTATCTATAGTCACCCTGCCGAGCAATAGCTCATAATAGGTTTCTTAGTCCTCACTGTAACTTAGCATCCATTGATCAGTCTTTCCCCAAGGTAGGTTTCTAATCTGTTCTCAATATCAATGAGATCAACTTTTTCGATTCCACATAAGAGTGAGATCATGGGGTACTTCCCCTTCTGTATCTGGATTATTTCACATAACATTATTATAACCAGTTCCCTCTTTCTTGTCACAAATGACAGGATTTCATTCTTTTCTTCACCGAACAGTATTCCACTGTGTATATTATACCACATTTTCTGTCAGTTGATGGACACTTAGCTTGGTTCCCATTTCTTGACTGTTGTGAATAGTCCTGCAATGAACTTGGGAAATACATACACATCTTCAACATGCTCAATTTACTACCTTTGTACACTTACCTCTTAGTGGGATTGCTGGATTATATGTTAGATCTATCTTTAATGTTTTGAGGAACCTCTTATAATGTTTTCCACAATGGCTGTACTGATTCACACTCACCCAAAGTGTAGAAGCATTCTCTTTTTTCAATACCCTTGTCAGCTTTTGTTTATCTTTAGTATTTTTAGTAATATCCATTCTAACTGGGATGAGATTATCTCATTGTGGCTTTTATTTGCATTTTCCTGACAGCTAATGATGTACAAATTTGCTGGCCATTATTCTTTTAAGAAAATTTGTTTGTATCATTTGCCATATTTAAATTGAAGTCATTTGATGTAGTTGTTATTGAGCTTTTGAGGCCTTGTATGTTCTGGATCCTTTAGTTTGTAGTTTTCTCATTTTAAAGTTTTTTACTTCACTTGTTTCCTTTTCTGTAAAGAAGTTTCTTAGTTTGATGTAATCCTATTGTCTATTTTTTGCTTTTCTTGCCTGTGCTTTTGAGGTCTTGTCTAAAAATTCTCACCCATATCAATATTTTAAAGTATTTCTCCTATGTTTTTCTACTAGTTTCATATCTTACATTTGGGTATTTTATGTAGTTTGAATTTATTTGTGTATAGTGTGAGAGACAACATTCAATTTTCAGTCTCTTGTATGTGAATATCCCATTTTCTCAGCACTATATATTGAAGAGCATGTCATCAAAATTCTATGAGGACTGCAAACAAATTCAGTAATTGCAGGATATAAAATCAGTATATAAAAATCACTAAGTTTTTATTTACCAATATTGATACTGCCAAGGAGGAAATGAGAGCTATAAGAGTGAGTAAATGAAATACCTAGGAATAGATTTAACCAGGTTTTGAAAGTCCTCTAAAATAAAAATCACAAAATTCTGGTGAAATAAATTGAAAGTTACACACACACACACACACACACACACACACACACACACACACACAAAGTGGAAAGATCTCCCATGTTCATGATTGGATGAATTAATATTGTTAAAATACCCATACTACTCAAAACAGTTCGTAGATCCAGCACAGTCCCTGTTGACTATTATTCCCTGCTTCAGAAACCACTAATATTATCTGTGTCTGCAGACTTACTTTTTCTGCATATTTCATATAAATAGGATACTACAACATGTGAACTCTCATGCTTTGCTTCTCTCAGTTGACATTACTGAAGTTTTTCTGTGTCATAATATGTATCTGTCATTCACACTCATAACTCTTAATGCCTACTGGGATAAAAAGGGATATTTTATATACAAAGAGGGGGACAAAGGGAGTGAGAAGGACACAGTGAAAATGCAACAGAGATAAATGGAAGCCATTTGGAAATTAAAAATTCTAAAGATCCAAATAAAATATATTAATGTAATATGTAAATTTGAAATGTAAATTTGAGGAAATTTTCTACTACAGTACTCGTTCTAAATGTGTAAACTATGTATGTAGAAAACTAAAACTTTTGCACATGGAGAAACTGAAAAAATAAATGTAATTATATTCTTATCCTTTGCTTTTTTTCATTTATTTTCATATCCTTTTGCTATAACCACATAGACTTTAAATGTTAGATTTTTTAAATAACTGAATATAGTTCATCCAGAAGCCATAAACTTGATTATAAATTTTGATTTATCATATATTTAGGGCTTTCCAATGTTTTTACTTGTATAAATATATGTGTAATTTATATCACTGTGTAAACATTCTAATTACATTCTATTGCCTTACATTGTGAAATAAAATTTCTGGGTTGAAAGATATAGATACTTTTAAAGAGGTTTGTTATATAATATGCCCTAAGTATTTTAGTAACACAGGAATTCAATTTTGAACTAGTTGTAAGTAGTTATATTGTTAGTGTATCAGACAAATTACATGGTAGAATAATGTGCTTAAGTATTTACCAATATAGATTCAGCTTCCTACACAAACAGCGAATGCATACACATGTGTGCAGACACCCATTTGAACATGTACTCAAACATAAAAAATCCAAAATATAATATATTAAGTTGTAACATATTTATTAACAGGGAAAATAATAATGGTCTAGGTGGCTTTTCCTAAAGTCTTACCTATCTTCCCAGATTGGTTCAGATGCCTTTAAATATTCCCAGAGTTTGCATATTTGTATAATTTTATTATAAGATTGCATTTAAATGAAATCTTTTTAATTTAAACTTTTTAAGTACCAAAATATAAAAAATACAAAAGCAGTTATAATTTTCAACCTATGTTTCTAGCCTCAACATTAATTATGCAGTGCCTGAAACATAATATCCTCACAATGCTATCATCATGAACAGAATTTCTTTAAGTATGTTCAGAAGAGTGTGAACTTATATACTTAATCATTATTTTGCTGTATTTCCTATTGTTGAGATTTAAATTTTAGAAATACTTCTACCACTTCCTTTTTCAAATTGGTTATTTTAGAGATAACTTTATAAAATTATTTCTTCATTTAAAAACCAAATTCTACAGGAGTTTGATTTGGTTCATAAAATTTAGAAAACCAAAGGGAAAATTATTTCTTGTAGATAAATTTAGCTAGCAAACAAAGAAATACAAATATCTTCAGAAACTAAATTTCAACAAAAAACTCTTAGCAGATACTTAAGCAGAAAGCTTATATTTTTTTCTTCTTAACATAATTGTTTTCCATCTTATCTCAGTGGGAATACATAAAGTACACTAGTATACTAGCGCATCTTGTAACACAGTCATCTGAACTCTGGTCCAGTTTTGTTTGATCGCAGGACTTACTAAGCAAATGTTTGGACTCACTTCCACTTATGTCTATATAATACCATCTGTTTCTGCCTACTAGAATTCATAATAACTCCTGTTTCCATTTTTTCAGTTTCACTTTGGATTTTTTAAATTTCATTTTCTGCATTTTTGTGATTGTTTTTATTTAAGATTGATTGGAGTATGCTTCAAGGACAGATAAATCTTTCTTCTATTCAAACCAAAAGCATCAATTGTTTAAAAAAAGAATATCATCAACAACTGGATACTTTTAATTATCAGAAAGAATTTTCTGATATAAAATGCTGCTGATCATTGATTTTACATATCATGGGGCTTTTTCTTTTTAATTGTAGGAGGAGTTAATAGCTCATAAAAGAAAATTACCAAACCAATCATTCTTTCTTGTTTTTGTAGAAATTTGCCTGCTGACCAAGGGTCGCCGCACTGCCAGTGTTCGAGCTGATACATATTGTCGTCTTTATTCCCTTTCTGTGGACAATTTCAATGAGGTCCTGGAGGAATATCCAATGATGAGGAGAGCCTTTGAGACAGTTGCCATCGACCGACTAGATCGGATAGGTACTCATCAGTTTCATACCTTATTCATGCACAATTTAGTTTTAATCTAGTGGAGTAATATGTTTTCAATCTTAAGTCCCAAATGCCTACTTATACCTTGCTTGTTAATTTGTGTAGAAATAGCAATTAGCTGTAGTCATATTTTAGGGATATCTGAGATTCTGTCTATCCATTCTAAGTATTTGCAATTTATTTATTCATTTCTACTTTTACTAGCTACGCAATCTGATATCCCAAGAGATACTACAACAGTCTGAATCTTTAGGTAAAAACCATGACACAAATTCTAGAAAACATTAAAATAGAACTAAAAATACAATAGTATGAGTCTACATTACAAACCAAATTTTATCACAAGATTCATTTTTTATTTTTAAGGGCCAACTTTATATTTTATCCTTACATTAAATTTGAAAACTTTTCCATTTAAATTAGTCTCAGCAGATATTTACCGAAATGTTTGTAATACAGACTCAAGCAGAAAAAGCCTTGCTAGAAGTACCCTACATAGATGTTTTACTTTGCAAACATCAACAAATTTAAAGACTTTTCTGCTACCAGATAAATACATGTATTTATATAAATTAAACTGGGTTAGTTATGCTAGTTTAAAGATTTACATAATTGCATAGTAAAGTTAGATCGGAATGGGTTGCTGTTAACTTCCCTAGATATCCTGGAACATTCTGATATGTCCTAAGAAGGTATACAATCATTTCCAACTCTACCTCTTTGCCTACCATACCCGCTTTTCCAGCTTAGTTCTCAGCTTTCATAAGCCAGTGTTAGACATTTCATTATGGAAACCTTCACTGACTTCTCACCACCTATCAGGTTGAGTTTCCTGCATATGTTCTCCTAAAGCCTCTGAAGTTTCACCAACACAGTAATTATTCAAGAGATTTGTGAATGGAGAGATCATGTTTACCTCAACATTACATTTGCAGTACCTGGTACACAGTGAATATTTGTTGAAGAAAGGGGGTGAGGGAGGTAAGCACAAATGGACTCAAAGAAGATGGGACTGGGAGCAGTTAGAGGTAAACAAAAGGTATCTCCACTGCTTCCTTCTTATTAAAGGAAAGGACTTAGACTGATGTACTGTTATGTCACCTTCTTTGTTTTTGCACTTGATATCTCTCTTTCCCTCTATTTTATAGAACAACAGAATGGGTGAGGGTTTAAAATTAGATTAAAATGAGCAAAGTTAGTATTTGAACATCATCAGAAGATGTAGCAAACGTATTAGAAATTCATATCACCAGCTTAGAGAATTAACAGAACATAGTCATGCCAGGGAGTAGCAACAATAAGAGAAGTAAGTAATCCTAAAAGCATCTTTACATAATTTGAATGAACTTTCCCTTTTGTGCTGTGATTTTATATTAGACAAAAAGACTGATTTCTGAATATCTGAGCTTTTTCCTAAACCAGAGAAACATATATAAACAAAGCATAAATTTAGTATATTTCAAAAAAGAATTTCTGTTAATTTGATATACTTGCATCTAAATTATTGCATTTAATTTATTTAACAATTTTATTTGAAGTGGTTTGCAATCAGTAATATAAGACATACAGTTGCTAGCAAGCACCAATTATTTGCATTTTTGATCTTTATAAAATCATAACAGTACTTTGAAAGTTATAGCAACTCTTTCCAAGATTGTAGATATGTAGATTATTCATATGGTTAAAAAGAAACATTATCTTTTTCAATGTTGTGGCCATTGCTTATACAAATACATTGTAATTAGTTAATGGGATATCCTGAATAAACATTCATATTTATTACTAATGTAGGAGCTTTTGCTTTGGGAAACTAGGGCAGTTTTTAAAGAAAGAGAGTAACTACTTTGGTAATAATTTAAAACGCTGGGCTGGGGATTTAGCTCAGTGGTTCCGCCGCCTGCCTTGCAAACACAAGGAACTGAGTTCGATCCCTGGTACCAAAACAAAACAAAACAAACAAACAAAAAACCCACTAAAATGCCTTCCTCATCCGTCAAGAAAATTACAGCATGTTTTTCTATTTTGAAAAAATATATATACATACTTTGTTATTTTCCATATGATACCTTAATTAGCAAGTTAATTTCACTTTTCAGTTTCCATATTCACTTGTGTAATATTGTATCAGTGAGGGCACTGCTTTTTCCTTCTTTCACTATTGATTCTAAGTTTTATTCTGCCAGTGAGTAAGGTTATTGCAAACCACTCCAAAAACAATGGCAGGAAGGACAGCTAATGCTTATTTAGATCAAGAGGAATCTAAGAGCCTTCCTAGAACAGGAATGATCCCAAAATGATTCTCAACCCACATGCATACAATGATGCCCTGAGGAAATTTGCTTTTAAAACATTGAAATCTAGACTGTTTTTCTAATTATTCACATTAAATTCATAGAGTATGAATGCACATTTGTATGTTTTAAAACCTCAGAGAGAAAGAAATATGCAGCTAGAATCACTGGCACTGGACATTGGCAAATGCCAAAGCCCAAATAGAATGTTACTCGCACTTGCAGGTAGAAGTCATTTGGGATTGTAGTAAAACGCAGAGTCCCGTTCTACAAGTGAGGTCAGGCCCAAGAGGATGCACTTCCAGCAAGACCCAGCTGACACAGAGGCGCCCATCTCTTGTCCATAACACAGGCGCCAATCAGATTTCCTCTGGTGCCAGCCAGCCGCCTTGCTTACCTAGCCATGCTTTCTGCATATTATCCTTACTTTTCCCAAGTCCAGGTCTCCTTTCTAGTAAAAATGGGATTATGAACATGCCTACCTCATAGGTTTGAGGATTGGATCACAGACCTCTACTAAGAAAGCCTTTTAAGGATTACCTGGCACAGAGCAAGTGCTTAAATGTTAGCTCTTACTTCCCTGTAAGCCTTCCTTTGAAAGGCAGGTTGAAATTCAGATCTGATCCAAAAGGCCTCTCTTCTCTCATTCTTCAAGACTGCCCTCATGTTACATATCTCCATTTCTTCTGTAAAGTGGCATTTACCATTCCACAGGCTTTCAGCTTGGCTTCAGTAAGATTTCCCAGGCAGATACAGGAAGCCCGGGAAAGGAGGCAGAAGCTTCATTTCTATTCCGGTCTAAAACTGAGTTCTTGGCTTCTCAGCCTCTTGCACAAACTGCTGACATATTACTGTTTGGGGCAGCCACTCGCACGTGGCGTGGTCCTCAGTGGTGTGTAGCCTTGCTAAGTGCCTGTAATTTTTTTCTCTGACAGGAAAGAAAAACTCCATTCTTTTACAGAAGTTCCAGAAGGATCTGAACACCGGTGTTTTCAATAATCAGGAGAATGAGATCCTGAAGCAGATCGTGAAACATGACAGGGAGATGGTGCAGGCAATCGCTCCAATCAATTACCCTCAAATGACAACCCTGAATTCCACATCTTCCACCGCCACTCCAACCTCGCGCATGAGGACACAGTCCCCGCCAGTGTACACAGCCACCAATCTGTCTCATAGCAACCTGCATTCCCCCAGTCCCAGCACACAGACACCCCAGCCGTCTGCCATCCTGTCGCCCTGCTCCTACACCACGGCGGTCTGCAGCCCTCCAGTACAGAGCCCACTGGCCACGCGAACTTTCCACTACGCCTCCCCCACCGCCTCGCAGCTGTCCCTCATGCACCAACAGGTGCCGCAGTCCCAGCCACCCCAGACTCAGCCGCAGCCGCAACAGCCTCAGACACCGGGCAGCTCCACACCGAAGAACGAAGTACACAAGAGCACGCAGGCGCTGCACAACACCAACCTGACCCGGGAAGTCAGGCCCCTCTCGGCTTCGCAGCCCTCGCTGCCCCACGAGGTGTCCACGCTGATCTCCAGACCTCATCCCACTGTGGGCGAGTCTCTGGCCTCCATCCCTCAACCCGTGACGGCTGTCCATGGCACGGGGCTTCAGGCCGGGGGCAGGAGCACCGTCTCGCAGAGAGTCACCCTCTTCAGACAGATGTCATCTGGAGCCATCCCACCCAACCGGGGAGTCCCGCCCGCACCCCCTCCACCAGCACCCGCTCTGCAGAGAGAGGCTTCCCCAGTCTTAAACACAGACTCAGATGCAGAAAAGCCACGATTTGCTTCAAATTTATGATCCCTGCTGATTGTCGAAGCAGAATTACTCTAATAAACCGAGAATTCTCAGATCTTATTTTATTCTCTCTCCAGATAAATCCTTATAGCCTACTATGAAGAGATATTTTAGACAGCTCTCGCCTACATGTAAAATGTGAAAACATATATGCATATACTATTAAATATATATCTATATTCCCATGAGAAGTTGAAAGACCTGTTTAGCATTCAGTGTTATATGTTTTCCTTTCTTTTAATTATTAAAAGTTTTAAAATATTGTTGTAAGATTATTTATTTCTAATATACTTTTACTTAATTCCTTTGATATATGTATTTCTCTATTTTATAAAGAGTTCTTGGATTCAATGGGAACAAAATTCTGATTTTTAAAAAAGGCATCTCAAATGAGCTCTGGAATAGCACCAGTCAAAACTTTCATTAGCTATGTCTTGCATCTCAATTATTAATCATTAATTATAGAGTATTACATAGCAAATCCCATTTTATAGATAAAATCGTATTTTGGTGCTTTCAATTTTAAATTAGATAAAAACACACTACATGCTCGGCCACTGTAGAAGACTAGCATTTTCATATTAAGAATATCTTTAATATCACACATGTTCATTGATCTTTCAGAAAACTAAGGGATATTTGTCTTCATGTGTTATTGGACTGTTACCAAGACTCAATCAATGTTAGTTGTAAATACTTTTTTCAACCCAAATAAAAATAGCTACTCTGTGTTGTATGAAGGTAAAAGTCACTGTTTAAGAATTTAGTTTTATTGCTTCACTTCAAAGCTTAGAGGTTTAAATTTTACAAAACCTATTGTGACAATTATTTGATTGTAATGCAATGGCTTGAAACCTACAATATTATTTTAACCAGCAATGTTTTATGCAAAATTGTATGCTTGAATCTACAAGTTGCTTGTATTACACCAAAAATCATTACTTTTCTTCCTTATTGCCATAATCAAGCATCCTAATATAGTCCCTGCATGTTTTCTGGGGAAAAATAGGCTCAAGTCAGTCATTTTAAAGGAAGGCTTACATATTTCTCATTTCTAGAAAAATATAACAATTCATTTAATTGCCTATCTTAAATTCTTATAAGGCTGACTTGGATCTCTGACTTAAGTCTAGAAGTGAAGTTTTTCACTTTCATTTAATATTATTGCCATAATATTTACATAATTATTCGTAAACCATGGCTTGATTTGGAGTAGCAAATGTGTTCTGTGTCTACATTGTAGTTAGTAGTTGGTGTTGATTTAAAAAAATAAATTCAATGATATATCATCATGTCTGCTTGGGAACACACATTTTGCTCAATGTAACTATGTGGTTAGTAAACATTAAGGTGTGTGGTGAGTAACATAGACCTTAGGAGGTTTATTATTTTAAAAGTCCTGAAAATAGTATGGACATGGTGATAAAGCAGAGGTAAAGTTGAATGTCTGTGAGCATTGTCTGTTCTTTTGTTTTCTTAATTCTATTGATGATTTATGAGCATCTGCTTCTTCTCAAAATCCCTTAGTAATTATTTGTGCCTAATACATCCCACAATCGTGGTAGATGACTGGAACACAATGGGAAGATTCCTAGTATTCAACTTCTGTGTAAATAACCCAAGCTAAGAAAATGACCTAAACTGAAGGTCTTCGGTATCTCTGGCACCTGGCACCGACAACATATTTAAGAAGAACTTAACAAAGATGGCACATTATATGAGCCAGGGCTTCCAGATAGACTTAAGGACTGAGAAAAAAACAAAAGCAAAACTCTAAAGTGGATCCATGCTGCCTGTTATGCCTTTATGGATATAATACATATAATACCAAAATGAGTTATTATATTTAAGTCTTAATAGATCCCAACTTGTATGGAAGTAATCAACAATGCTAGTCGATGTACTATTTATTGTTAGTCTGCTGATGACAAATGATCGCATGTCAGGAATGGTGTTCGAAGGGACATTGTTCTATCTACCTAGAATCTATGGGAAAGCTGCAAGACCATTTACATATCAGTACAAAACCCCTTTATTTTATTAAAATATTAGAGTTAACTTCAATTTATTAAGATCATGCATTAGTCCTTTAAATTATTAAAGGTTTACATTTGATAGGATTAATGGATTTGGAAGTGAAATATTTTTATATGTAATATATTTGAATTTATGATTTTTTATTTTGAGCACTATTGAGAAAAAAGCAAAATTGAATTGCATGGTCTTTCAGTGCAACCATACAATTTTTATTCACTTTGTAACAGAATGGGGAAAACACCCTAAAGGTTTATATGTTAACCTAATAAAATGGTACAGGGTAAATTATATACATATATGTATGAATGTATATACACTTAGGTTAAAAAATTGACTCACAATTCTGTAATATACAGGCTCATTGATAGTTGGAAGTGACCACTCTTCTCTGTACATAGTTAAGCCCATAAGGATGGAATTTTAATTGTACAGAAAGAAATGTATTATTGAAAATATTAGTCTTTTTGCTGCTGAGAAGTTAAAATAGCTAATTCTTATAACAGCTGTATGATCAGGGATGAGTTAGAGTATTTCTTTTGTCTTTGCTCAAAGCCATAAATATATAA